AACATGAAAGGAGTTGGTTTAGATGAATTTGAAGACTATATATGCATGCATGTATGTATTGTTTTGAATTTGCATATTTGAGCTTGAATTACATGACTCATGTTGCAATTTTGGTTGAAATCCATGTATTTGACCATCTTTTCATCATATGAGACGAGAATGAAGGTTATATGTCACATGCATGTACAATCCATGGAAGTAGAAGCTTTGAATGCATGAAATGGTTACATTGGTAATGAGTTGGCGGAGAAATCGAGCACCCAGCATTTTCTGCAGACATGGTTCCCGCTCGAGCGGGGAAGTTAACGCTCGAGCGGGAAGCTATGTAGACAGGCAGTCCGCTCGAGCGGCCGAGTTCACGCTCGAGCTAGAATTGAAGGCAACCAGTACTTTCGCAGACCTAAGGGTCCGCTCGAGCGGGGACCCTATTTTCTGAAATCCTGTTTTTGCATTTTGTGTTCTGTTTTCCGTTCTCTTTCACTTGCAAGCACTCTTAGGCATATGTTAAGCATTGTAAATGAGTTAATGAGATAATAATAAAGCCTAAAGAGGAATATGTGAATTAAAGAACGGATTGAACTGTTAATGACCCTTTTGTGTTCATGAAACGTGTAGGGTCAAGCTCCAGGGCAAATTCACAAGCCGATCACTGTGAGTAATATCGATATTTGAATGCTTGTGAATGTCCAATTGTCTATTCCCTTATAAGCTTTATGAATTGCTAATTGGGATCATGGACGTAAGTCTGATATGAATAAACATAAATGGACCCAAGGTCGTTTTGATAAACATAAATGGACCCAAGGTCGTTTTGACATGAATGAGTGGGCCGAAGGCCGTTTTGAAATGAATAAGTGGGCCGAAGGCCGTTCTGACATAAATGAATGGGCCAAAGGCCGTTTTGACACGAATGTATGGGCCAAAGGCTGTTTTGATACGAATGTATGGGCCGAAGGCCGTTTTGACATAAATAATTGGGCTGAAGGCCGTTTTGTCATAATCGAGTGGGCCGAAGGCCGTTTTGAAATGAATGAGTGGGCCGAAGGCCATACGAATGTATAGGCCAAAGGCCGTTTTGACATAAATGATTGGGCTGAAGGCCGTTTTGTCATAATCGAGTGGGCCGAAGGCCGTTTTGAAATGAATGAGTGGGTCGAAGGCCGTTCTGACATAAATGAATGGGCCAAAGGCCGTTTTGACACGAATGTATGGGCCGAAGGCCGTTTTGATACGAATGTATGGGCCGAAGGCCGTTTTGACATAAATGATTGGGCTAAAGGCCGTTTTGTCATAATCGAATGGGCCGAAGGCCGTTTTGACGTACATAATTAGGCCAAAGGCCGTTTTGACATAAATGATTGAGCCAAAGGCCGTTTTGACATAAATGATTGGGCCAAAGGCCGTTTTGACATAATCGAATGGGCCGAAGGCCGCTTTGACAAGAATGGAGATCTGAATGGACCAAAGGCCATAATGTTTGGAGTTACAGTCACTTGATTTATATTTAGCTATATATCTGTTAAGTAGGAATATGAATTGGGCCCAAGGCCGTTTGGAGCATGTTGTTCTACATATTATGATGTAACTGTCATATTTGATAATATTCACTGGGCTATCGCTCACGCTCATTCATATCTTTGTAGGTGAGCCAAGAGAAGTTCAAACCCAGCCCCAGTGAAGTCTGCCAGGAATAACATGAGTTTGGAGAGTCTGCCTTGTGTCTCACGCACGAGACTTAACCTTGCCATTCTGTTATGTATTTCCATTTTGTCTTGTTGGCAAGGATCTTGTGTATATCGGTATGTAGTTGTGATATGGGTTGACTCAGTTTAGATGATCCTGTCTGTAATGAATTTTGTGAAACTGTATTTTTGACGTGGGTTAACGTATCTGAGCATGGTTTGTTTGATGTGCATATAAGCACGGCTCTATGGACAAAGTTTTAAATTTTTGCTTCCATTTGGCCCCTTTACTCTGACAAGTTACGTCTGTATCGGTCTGAGGCCGTAGTAATCACAGGATTACTGGCCGGTCATGTCCTTAACCCATAGGGGCGGGTTTGGGTCGTGACAGAGTGGTTTGCTTCCGTTTGGCCCCCATTAACTCTGTTAAAATACATTTGGTTTGGTTTGAGGCCGTAGGTAATCTCATGATTACTGGCCGGTTACGTCTTTAACCCATGGGGGCGGGTTCGGGTCGTGACAATAAGCGTCCAGTATCTTGAGACTAGGTGGTTCTATAAGAGTCAACTGATCCCAGAGACCAGTCATCTCAATATAAAAGTCTTGAATAGTTTGATCCCGTTGACGAGCTGTAACGCTCTCAAAATAATAGGTAAAACCCATCTCATGAGACATGCACTGATATAAAATAAACTGACCATTTCTATTTATCAGAGTAATTCTACAGCTGTATTACATGTTAACAACAAAAGCAAATGCCCTAAGGGCTTACAGCTTTCCAAGTTAACACTTGGTTACAAAAATAGAAGAGTACTAACTCAATACATATTAAGCCCTTGGCTTGAATTTACATGTAATACATCAAAATAAATAAAAGAAGAGTCTTCAACTCTCATCATCATCCAAGCTATGTCCTTGGAGGTGGCATACTACCTGTACCTGAAAATAATGTCCCATAAAGGGTGAGCCAACGCCCAGTAGAGATATGCTAAACACAGTATGAGCAATAACTAAGACATTAGCAATTGATAAATGTTCAATTTCATACATCAATTCATAACCCTTTTCCCATTACAAGACCACTATGTCCATGTTTCATTTCATTTTCCATTTCTTATCAATTCCGCAATTTACATTAACGGCTCAGAGTCTAGTCAATCACTTATATGAGACAGTGACTCATATTAAACATTTCCCATTATCCTTTTTCACGACAGCATTTTATGCCGTCGTTATCAACACATTATCTGACAAGCATATGAGCTGCATCAGTGGAGTCTATCCCCTATCTCCTTCCAAACAACATCTGGTTTAAAGGTTCATTCCCTATCTTCCCCTAAACCGTGGAGTACATCCCCTATCTCCTCTCATACACACAACGTATATACACTTAGGTCATATACACAATCAATCAATACATAACATTAATGTATTCTATTAACCGTCATACTCTATGACATATCCAATTGATTAGTTTTAGTTTGCCTAATCAACATGAATTGTCTACAACAATCAAAACTACCCTCCACCGGTAGCCCAAGCAATTATTTCTAAACAGATAATAAAAGCTCCAACAGATAAAATATCAATGTTTTCAAAAGCGAGCGATTTATAAATCCAACGCCATCATTTCACAACATAATGAACCAATTTCATTATTTCCAACTCAATTCCATAAGTTCACAATTTTCCCAAATTAATTATACCAATTAATTTTAAACAACAAATTAGGGCTTACACCCCCAACTCTAGATATTAACCCGAAGGTTCCAATATCACCAACCAACAACTATATCATCACTTTGAAACCCAAAATACAAGTTATGAGCCCAAAATCACAAAACCCTTTTTACACATTTTGAAATCCTAAGTCCCAAAATTTCCCAAGTTCAACACTCTATCAAAACAACTAAAAATCTAGGTCAAAGACCATAAGAGTAAGTAGGAACCCCTACCTCAAAAGATGACACCCAACGAAGATGATGATGAAAATGAACTTGTTCCAAACCACGAGTTTCTCGGATCAAAAGATAGCCCTTGACGATCAACAACTCTTTTGTAAAGGCCAAAGGTGAGGAAAATACTCTAGCTAGATCAATACTTAGAGAGAAGGCAAGGTTTTAGAGAGAGAGGCTCTCAAATGACTTTTTCGGAAAAGTAAGAGAGAGAAAGAATGAGAAAAAGTGATTTAAAACTGCCCCACAATCAACTGATATACGACATTCCCGCTCGAGCGGAAAACACAACGCTCGAGCGTCAAGAACAAAAACTAGGTCCGCTCGAGCGCAAAAGAACCCGCTCGAGCGCCAAGACACAAGAATAAAGCACATCCGCTCGAGCGCGAAAACCAGTCCACTCGAGCGTAGATTTCCCCCTCCCAGAACTTATACCCAGAAAGTACTACCCGCTCGAGTGCCAAGGAACCCGCTCGAGCGCCACCGCTCGAGCGTAAAGAAATCCGCTCGAGCATAGAAATCACACCTGCAGAAGTTTTGCAAGAACACGAAATACTGGAGGTGTACAATCCCCGCTCGAGCGCAAGAAGACCCACTCGAGCGGACCGTCTAAAAACTGGGCAAGAAGGAATTGAAACCAAGGCCTAACCAACCTGTAACAACCCCGCCCAAAACATCCTAAAACTCAATCAAGTGGAATTAAAGGACGACAACAAGATAGATACAACTACCAACTTCATGGAACCGAGTCTGGAATACAACAGAACAGTAAAGGGGCAACCGGAATCGCTATACGAGCACTCTAAATAGTTGTTTCCAACTCATATCGTTTGGCAAAGTTGGACTGCTGATAAACACCTAGTAAATAATCTCATACTTCCTTGGCAGTACTGTACTTGGAAAACATCATTCCAATACGTTCATCCACAGAATTATGAAACCAGGTCAGAACTTGGGCATTATCACAATCTCAAGTGTCACAAGAAAGCAGATACCCTTCCGCCTTCGGGTCCGATGGATGAGAAACATAACCAGAAACACAGCCCCATTTTTTTTACCAAGAAGAAAATTCTTCATGACGCTGGCCCAATAGGCATAATTGCCACAAGTGCGTTTACATTTTATGGCTTGGATTTTAGTATCCGACATTGTAATAAAACAAAATTTGTAATAAACAGACAAGTATGGGACTTGAGTGCAATATTCTTGAAATAGGATTTAAAATAGAAATACCCAAGTTGAAGCACAGAGAGAGCAGACAGAGATTGCGAAGCACAGAGAGAGAGAGAGAGACAGAAGCTGAGATCGACCTTCAGACAAAGATTGCGAAGCACAGAGAGAGGGAGAGAGAGAGAGACTGAACCTGAGATCGATCTTCAGACAGAGATCGTGAGGAAGCGAGAGGCAGACGAACCAAATTAACCAGAGAGCTGAAGTAGATAGTTGCGAATCGAATCAAACAGAGATCGCGCGGAAGAGAGGGGCCTTTGCGAGAAAAACCAGACGAACTAGAAAGGGCTAGGGTTTCGAACCTTCGCGAGTCTGGAGAGAGAAAAGTCGCGACTCCAATGGTGATATGCGAAGCAGCTAGGGTTTCGAACCTAGCTATGACACCGTGTAAGATTTCTGAACGAAAACTATATATATTAGAGTGAATTAATTGACAAAGAATACACCATTTATATAGAACACTAATTCCTAATCCTACATGAATACATCACTGATGTATAAAAGTCTAATAGGACACTAATTCCTAATCCTATAAGGAAAAAGGAGAACACATTCTCACAGAAGGCACTACAACAATTGTTCTTACCCCCCGGGTTTAAAGCCACTGCAGCCTTTTTCAGAGCAGCTAAACCAGTGAAGCGTGTTAAAGTGCCTGGAAGTGCTAACGATGATGTAGAAAAGATGTTTGGCATGACTCCTGAACTATTGACCTGCTCAATTAAAACGAAATGAGATCATAAGTATGACATAAGACTAAAGTTCAAAAACATCACAAATAACCCCAATCCAAGAAGACAATACTATAAATGCAAAACATTAACAGAAGATTTCCATGCATGACAATTCACATAAGCAAAACAATATGAAGTGAATAGCAGGTGAATCAGAAAAACATTGCCAAAGAGATGAAATCAGTATGTTGCAAGAGTAGTCATTTTACAAAAAATTTGTTAAGTAACACATGTAGATTGCTTCTAAGAAGAAAATTATAATCATTTCCAATCAGTAACACTTACTGAAACATAGTATGGAACTTGATTACAAACCTGAAAGGGTAGGTAAGCAGATTTTTGGAGCCCTCCAGTTCTGCTACTGCATTGTGAGGCATGATTAATTGGGATTTTCCTCTCTGCTTCCTGAAACCCTTTGTTAAGAACATTGTCAACAGTTCTATGCTTCAACTAATCCAATTCTAATTCACAAAAATAACCGGCATTTACCTGAACGTACACAATACTAAGCACCAACAAGAAAAAGGAGAAAATGATAGCGACAAGTCCAATGTAGTTGCCATCCTGAAATGCCTCTGCAACAGTCCTACCAAAAGATGCCGGCAAGTAGGATATAAAGCTCATGAAGATCAAAAGAGATGTACCATTTCCAAGTTTTAGGTCAGAAAAACGTTCACCAATGTAAGTTGTAAGCACGGATCCAAGGGTTAATAAAGTAATAGAAGCCAGAACCCACTGTGTACTGAAATCATCGACATAAGGGCGAAGGTAGAGTACATGGCCAATTGCCTGCCATAAAAATTAAGAATATACAAAAGAAGGTTAAAAGCATTGTTAAAGTCATGACATATAAAAAATTAAAAGCATATTGTGGAAAATTTATTAACAAGAAACATCAAAATAGACACCAAAATACTTAGGACTCATGGCCTATCACCCATCCAAACACATTTGTGTGACCCCAGTGGTTGGTCATATATCTAAACTCCTGTATAGCCAACAAAATTCAATAACTAATTTACACAGGCATTAAAGCCTAAATCGGGACAAATTCAAAACACCCAAAGTCCACTTCCATCCAGAATTAAGAACTTTTGGCCAAGAAAGCCCTAGTCATTATTCTTTTATACAAGTGACCAATAAGATTAACGAATAATGACAATTTTTACTCATTAAGGAAAACTTTTACATAAGAACATTGGACAAGGGTTGGTAAATTTTTGTTGCTGGACCAAGTCAGTCATATGACTCGCAGGCAAAATAACTATTTCCTTTTTTTAATCCAAGTAGGGTTGTAGGGTGTTAATCAATGAATTTGTTTCTCAAAGTTTGAAATGCAGAAAGGAAGTTGAAGGCAATAGGATGCTTTTATCAATTTATCGTTATTTGGTTGCAACCTTATTATTTTATTTTATTGTTAAGTAAATTTATATTACCAATACTTAATTTTGCTCGATTAACTATCGGGGGAATAACTTTATTATTTTATTTTTCTTTCGCGGTATTTTGACTTTGTAGAAATTGAAAAGAAAAACTCCCACCTTCCTTCCAAATTACTGGCACATAATTTGTCCTTTACTTGAATGTTGAAGTAATTTCTAATACCCAGAATGATAAACAAAACATTTTTTGGTTCTTCAAAGCAACTTTAATCACTTTTCCTCATTTTGGTACCACAACTTTAACAACAAAAATATATTTAGTAAATAATTTTTGACTTTTTATGAAAAAATATGTAAAAAGTAAAGAGAAAAGAAAATTTTTGACTTTTTAGTATGAGTTGTTGACTTTTTGACTAATTTAGTAACTTTTTAGCTAAAAGAAAAAGTTCCCAAACGAGGCCTCACTTGAAGAACTAGATCTCTCTAGTGTGTAATTCTTAGTGTTTAGAATTATATAATGACCCTGTTTGGTGGAGTTTGTGAGAAAGTGATTATATCTTATACCTTAATAGTTTATAGTTTATAATTGTGAACATAAGTTGATTTTTGACTTATAAATTAAGCTTCTCCTCTCCACTTAAAGAATAAGTTGATTTTTGACTTACAAAAAATTATAAGCTGTATTGTTAAACTGAACTAAACATATCAAAATAGCTTAAATTAAGCTAAAAACTAAAATAAACTGAAAATAAGTCCTACCAAACAAGGCCAATATATATTTACACAGTTACAACTAGCTTTTGTTAATGCATGTACCAATTTAAAACATGAAAAATGCTTGGGAGCACTAATTAGTGCTCCCACTAATTACGTGGCAGTGGGTCCCGCCATTAATGATGTGATATTTTGGTCTTGGAGTTGTGTTTTTTTTTTTTTTACTTTTTTAATGCATTAGTGCTATTAGTGATGATGTTTTTAGTGGGATGAATCATTGTTGTTTAAAACATATGCATGCATGTATATCAATTTATCTCTCTTGGTTGATATAAAAAAACACACACACACGCATTCTTTATCGGTTTTACATATTTTAAATTTCTTTTAGTAGTAAGGTCCCGTTTAGTAGAGCTGTGAGAAAGTGATTATAACTTATAGTTTAACAGCGTACAGCTTATAACTCATAATTGTGAACATAAGCTGATTTTTGACTTATAAATTAAGCTTTTCCTCCCCCACTCAAAGAATAAGTTGATTTTTAACTTACAAAAAGCTATAAGTTGTATTATTAAGCTGAACCAAACACATCAAAATAGTTTAAATTAAGCTAAAAGCTGAAATAAGTTGGAAATAAGCCCTACCAAACAGGACCTAATTCTATTCAATATACATGCTTATCTTATCGCGCATGCAACTTACTGTTCATGATTATGTTGCACCTTGTGCTTAGGCAATATGAGACCTAGCCCCTTTACGCACCTTGAGCCCTTAACTACTTAACAACTATGATTTGAATTAAAGCTGCATTTTATTTTATTTTTTTGCCAAAAAACATTTTCGGGAAAATGTTTCCTTATTAAAAATATTTTCTTATGTTTGGTTACGACTCTAATGTGCTTGTGGTTGTGGTTGTGGTTGTGGTGGTGGTGGGGCAGCGGTGGTTGCATAATGGTGGCAATGTTAGTGGTAGTGGTGATAAGGTGGTGGTGGCAATAGTGGTAGTGGTGGTGGGCGTGGTAAGGGTGGAAGGGTGGCTGGCTAAGAAGCACGGACAGTTCTATGGAAGAGGCATGTTGTGTCGAACACGACACTCTACTGACACTCCTAAAAGTGTGTCCAACACTTCTTCAATGTGTCTTAACTAAAATTTTAAATTCATAATATTGGCCACTTCAACATGTTTTGAGCTCTGTAAACACGACCTATGTGACGAGTCTCTTCATATTAACAATATTTTTCATCCTTCAAAATCTAACTTGTGCATCTAAATATGTTTTGAAACATTTATAAGATAAATATATCACGTGCATTTCAATGTCATACAATTATTTTGTATTCATTAAAATGCAATTGGTACATGAATAATATCTTGATATTTAAATTATAGAATTTATGGCTTTTAAGGTTTAATTAGTTTTATATTGCTTTTCCATTACTTTTGAATAAACTATGCATATATTTGATATACAATAAATTTATAAAAATGCAAAATTTTAAAGTGTCCAAAATGTATCATGTCTTGCATTTTTTTAAAATCACAGTGACGGCGTGTCTCTATCGTATCGCATATCCCACTTAGGTGGCTAGTGGTGGTTGCAGTAGCAATAGCAGTTGCGGTGGCTGCAGTTGTTATTATATGGTGGTGCTAGTGGTGGTTTTGTATTGTTGGTGGTGGTATTGGTGATGGCCTGTGTTATATGGACTTTCTATTTCTCCTAAAGTACCCTTGTTTACTAGATATGACAAGAGTAAGGGTGCGGGATACGTGTTCGACATCTGTACCCAATTTAGACACTTAAATTTTTGACAATGTTTGAAAAAGAAGTTAACTCACATTTAAAACAAAAGAAACATTTCAAGTCTTTCACATGGATGAGAGATATCAATTTCATATTTTTCCTAAATCCTATTTATTTCAATTACATTTTTACATAATTTATGACATCTCCAAATGTCCACGATGCGTCCCCATGTTCATATCCAACTTTTGGAAGCATGTTCCAATATCCTAAGATTAAGGTTTATCAAGGTATGAGGCTTGGACACTCACACGAACTTGATATTCGTACCTAAGTGCATATAACATAGGTGATGGTGGTGTTGGTGGTAAGGCTTTAGTCTAGAAAACATTTTCCAATTTTGAAAATTGGAAAACATTTTTACTCATACAAGTTAGTTTTTGTCGTCCATGGAAAATGTTTTCCATTTAACCTTCATCTTGTTGTACCAGATACAAAAAAATACACATTTCTCATCTAAACAAACAAAACGTAAAATAAACAAGGTAAAGAACAAACATGCCACTCCTCTAGCTAGAGAAGGTTTCTCCTTTCTTGTACTTGAAGTACTTTCAAATTTTAGTGAAAGAATGCTTAGGACACTTTCCCAAGGAGAATCACTTAGACCCAATGAGTTATCTGAATCTATACCCAGTGGATCAAAAACCGAACCCTCACAATTGAGAAGGAACTAGAATCAGCATGATGGAAAAATATAAATATATTCACAAAAGAACAAAGCAATTCAATATCTGGAATTTTACCTATAACATTGCAATGTTGAAGAAACTTAATCTCTTGACAATCATCAAGTCTATAAAAGTAAAATTCACTTCAGACTTTTTATTTTTATGTTTTACTTTATGCAAGTTACATCATCGTGACTTCATTTCAACATATGTAAGGAATGATGTCCTTGATTCCTCAATAATTTTCTCTCAATGAAAACTTGAAAAATATTTTTATTCATTTCAATAGGAAAAGAATTATGGTTTATATGATGTAGTAGTAACTTAACCCTTGCAAAGGTGAATCCCATTACATTCCTCTTCTTAATTTTCCTCCATGTAATGACCCCAAAACACGTATAAGGAATTATCTTTATTTACCTATGGGTTAATGTGTTTTAGTGTGATTATATCTTTTGACTTGAAGCATTATCTGTTGAGTTACGACTTTAAAATTGAAATTACCGATCTTTATGGGTTCAGAAATCAAAATTGAGTACTTGCTTATGTTAATGGAAATTTTTAGAGCTATTTGGAAAAGTTAATTGGAAATTTATTTTGTCTGATTCGTTAAGGTGTGTTTGGGCGGTTAACGTTGCACCGCAAATTGAAGGCCTTAGAGGCTTCAGAAACCAGAACGGATTATATAGTTATGATCAGCATAATTTTTAGATTCATCTGGGAAGTTTAATTGAAATTTGATTTCGTACGATTCGTAAGGGTGCGTTTGGCTCTCCCTATTGTGATAAGCTTAAGTGTGTAATATATATATATAGACATGCCATATGAGTTGTTGAACTCATCATTTTGGAGTCAAAACAAAAATCTAAGGGAGAGAACCGAGAGAAAGAGAGGGCAAAGGAGAGAGGAAGCTTCTCTAAGAGAGAGAAAGAGAAAGAGAGCTCCCCAGAGCTTGAAGATAACCTTGAAGAGATTGAAAAGAGAAGAAGAAGATCAACCATGGAAATTTGGGGAAATTGAAGAGAACTAAGAGAAAGACAAAGATTGAACTAAGGTATGACAATCTATCTTGAATCCTTATGTTTAAAGCATCAATTCATAAAATCATAATGATATTGGAAGATTTGAACCCATTTGGGTTAGGGTTTTATGTGAGTATTTACTTGAACTAAATTTAACGAATTAGAATTTGAGTTCTATAATTTTGTTTATGATTGGAGCTCAACCTTATGAATACCACATGAAATGAACTTTTGAATTGTCCAAAGAATAAGATCATGCAAGAATCAAGTGTATTTGTGGGTTGTGTTTTGAGAACTTTGAAGATCATGAAAGATAAAGCATTGATCTTGAACATTGAGAAAAGATTGGTTTGTTTGAAATGGAATTACACTTGATTGATGTTAGTTTATCATATTGTGG